TATAACTTTAATAAAAAAAAAAGTAAACGAAAAATTTATTGAAATGAAGATTTCGTATGGTTCAGAAATCCTCCTCTAAATTAAAGTATACGTGACCATTCTAAGGGCCACTATGTTTGTAGCTACGTCAAGGTCTCTTCCATGGAATGAATACAAGAAACTTCTAAAAGAATCAGGCGTGCGCGAAAAAAATGAGTGTAATGGGTGCGGGGGATATATATCCCGCACGGTCCGACGGCCTGCAATGCGCGGGATATACAGGGGGGGGGCAAAAAAAAAGACATTTTGCCTATGTCGGACTTCGGCTCTTTTTTCTTCGCAGAGATTGCTGTCGTTGACGGGAGTTCCTCAGCAGAGTATTCCCTAAGTGTCCCTCTATAAGTGAACGCAGGCCCTCCTTCACTGCCCTCACCGTCTTCAGAATATGACGTCATCTGTCACCGTCGTCAGGCTCAAGGAGGTCTACCGTAAGAGCTTCAGCCTGAAGCTCTTACGCAATTTCGTGAATCGATTTAATGTTGGATAGTTTTCTAGAGGCATTAGCTACCACTATGCAAATCCCCTCGAAACTAGCTTTCCAGTAAGGGTCGTTATGGTACACGATCCTTCGAAGACCCCATTGAGCTCGACCAGTGCACCATGTTTCCAGGGCAAATTCTTCTGATGCCGTCCACGTAGGTGGCCACCATGAAGATTTTCTTATAGAGAATGGATTATAGTCGTATGTTAATCATTCGCGCGCCCGCAAAATCGCCGCGGTCCCACGTGGCCAAAAAGCCAAAACTCGCGTTGTCGTCAATGTGTTAAACGTCCGCTCGGCACACGATTCATATCCAACGGCTACCTTTGACTCCTGTCTCATCGGTCTACTTTGCTGGAACTGCTCATGAACTCTTTCACTGATGCGCCTTTCAAATCATAATTGTTCAACCTTTTGAAACTGTCTTTACACCCACTCTGCTTTCAGTAAAAGCGAATTATATGTGGACGATCCTGGTCGAGAAGGGAAAATCGACGTCGAAGTGGACGTTTCATTCCCGCACATGAAATGCGAATGTTGGTAGTCTCAGCTCACTTTGTCCAATGCAGTGAACACGACGGCTGGAAGGTGGAGCGGTTTTGAAGATGTCATTGAGCCTCAGTGGTGGAGGGACGTTGGAAGGTGGCGCAAACCATAAATTCCACCGCGTTAAGGAATCTGCTCCACAAGTGGCCTTCAATGACGTCATCAAATTCGCTCAGCCCTTTAGCAATTGGGTTCGCTGTCTTTAAGCAGTATATAGTGCAAAATCCGATGAGTTTTTTTTTCAGTTCTCGGGGTAGACATACAGGACGAGAATGGCCGGCATGAAGTGGGATTTATTGATCGGACTGAAAAGATTCCTTTGGAAGATGATGGATGCCGATTCAAGAGCAAATTTGAAATCAACAAGGTTAAGGAATTTTTTCTGTACATGGAAGAGAATTAATTTTTGAATTTAAGGTGCCCGGAAATTTCCACATTTCAACACACTCCTCCCCGGTTCAACCGGCAAATCCTGATATGCGACATATTATCCACTCCATACGTTTCGGCGATGATGTCTCGGTTAGTAGTGGCGATGTTTGATAGGCTGCTTGCGATTGGTTACGGAACTAGCCCGACCAATCATACGCATTCCACGCACGCCGTCAGGAATCGATTCCTGTTTAGGGTCTCAACGTGAAAGGGAGCTTCAATCCATTGCGAGAAAGGAAGATGTTGTCTTCTGAACCGTTATCTACACATGAGTACATACTCAAGGTAAACCATCAGTCAAATTTTTAAGGACTCTCAAATTAATAGCCTTCTTTAGATAGTACCATCAGTTTACGAGGACATCTCAGGAGGAATTCGAAATAGTTACCAGTACACATTTGCTCATAAGGTAGGTACTGACGCACACATGTAACAAACAACGTGCGACGATTCTGAATCATCAGACGCTTAGGAGAAACTGTAGTTGTCCATGACGGCTATTGCCGCTGTTTGTTCATCCAAATGAATGTGGAGCTCATTCTGTGCAAGTTCCCAATCGAAATTTGAGCACAGATATTTTTCGGGGCGGAACCTAAACGACGCTTGGCTTCGTGAAAAACTTGCGTTTTGAAGGCTTAGGGAAGGCAACTGTAGTCTGACGGGATGCACAATTAACCATGCATTGCGAGAAGGGTCAAGCACGCGCCGTGAAACTGGCAAAAAGTTGTATTGAGGAGTTCCCTGGCATAAGCTCTCACCCCCTCTCGCTCATCGAGAACGTTGCCAACGAGGAAAATATCAGAGGGGAATGAAGAGGACGATGGGGGGGGGGGTCGTCTGGAATTTTTTTTGCGGCAAAATGTTTGCCTTCATTCAAAGTGTGGTTGCTGCTTATTGCTTCTCTCGCTGGTTTAGTTTTTGCTTTTGACACCAATTGTTAGCCTTCCAACAGAAATCACTTGGGAATGTGTTTATCGTTAGCAACATGAAGCAGATAAGGTTTTGATGCAGCTTATTGTTAGAATGATTACGTCCTTTACTGTCAGCTTAAGCCTGAAGGCACAGAGGTCCAACGCGTTGATCCAGAACTCTATTTTGTGACCTAGACCCGAAGAATAGCTGCGCCATTATGCAGTTCTGGTCTGGAATCAATGCTAAACGCTCCTTGTTGCAGCGCCATAATAGGGTAAAATCAAGCAAAAAGGCGAAAAAAAGCTAGAACAAAAGACAAGTAAAAGGAAACGAGACAAACGAGATACCAATGTCTTGAAAGCACCTGTCGTAAGCGGGTTTCTGAGAAACGGCCATTCGGGCAATCCATTCGTAGAAGAGCAGGAGTCAGGCAAATGTGAAATGGTGATGTTCTCTTATGCCCTTCTCTTTTTTCTGTTACAATTTGCATCGTTCTTACACTGCTCATATTTCAATGGAAATATAACCCAGACAGCCGCTTAGCGACCGCGCGCGTGGACTTTGTCCGTACCTCACAACATCCATGCTTACGCAACGGGTCCTCACAAAAGCAATTTCAAAAATTACTTCAACAAGAAAATTTTGGTGTTTACATCTGGTTTCTTCTACTCTTTGATTAAGGATTACCTCGCCTATCATCATACTGGTCAAATTATCCCAGCCGTTTGGTTCAAGTACGGATTGCAGCCGATCACAGTGAAACATACGGAATTTCGGCACTCATTCTACTATTTTATTACTTCAGTGAGTTTTTCCAGCTTAAACAATCATTTTAGAAAATAAAAACAAAAAATGGGAAAAGGCAGTATGGCTATTATACCGCGTACCCAGTATTC